CACTTGCCCCACTGTGACACTTGCCTCGGGTTCCCTTATCCTTGAAACCAGTGGTTTGGTTTCACTTATAGAACGTAAATTCAATGAAAAATAAAAACATATTTTTAGTAAAATCTCAATTTTTGCCTGTCCTAAGTCAGGATGAATGTATGAAGGAAAAGTTACATCACAGGTTATGTGTGTTATATTGTGTTTTTATTAGAATGTTGTGCTAGCGCCGGCGGTGATCTTTACAGTGATTATGTCACTTGGGCGCATAGGGTATCCATGAATTTACGGACGGTCTCGGACAGAAACTTTTTATTTTTTATGGAAAGAAAATAATGTTTTTTTTTAATTCAGATAAATATTTTTATATTAAAGCCAACCTATGGTTTTAGTGACAACGGTACACTTACACCTTGTATATAAATATGTATAATATTCTTTTTTATCACACTATTTTGCCCTACCCTGTCATTTTCATGTAATCCTGTCCATTCATTGGTTGTCCGGAAGAAATTTCTGTCAGAAATAAGACTCATTGCATATTTCTTTGTGTTGGTGTGCAATAAAAAATATAAAATAAAATAAAAATAATAAAATACTTATTATTTTATGTGTTTGTGTATAATATGATTATTTAATATATCAGTGTTTTTGTGAGTTGTACACAAAAAGTAATAAATTGTAGGTACGCTTTTTTTTCAAATGTATGTAATGTTGGAGGCTGGCAAAGGTCTCTATAGCTAGATGTCACCAATAAAAATATCACTAAATTCCATATCTTTACAATCTTTATAATACAAGTACATTTCTCAAAATGATCCGAACATATAACCGAATTCTTAGATGGCTTATAAAAGTCATCTCTTTTTTCTCTGGTGACAATCGAGATCCATTCTGCACATTTAAAGAGATTGCTAGGAAAGCTAAAATAAAAAGTAATTATCCAAAGAAACTACGCAAACGGAGCAAAAGTGGCAATTACCATTATATAAAGTTTTCGTAACAAATTATTAAAAATTATTACAATACAAATCTACTCCATGTATCTACTGTTCTGTTTCACAAATGTTTACGCGTATGTTGACCAACCTTGGCAAAACATTTGTAGGGTTAGTTTCAAATCGGTACTTTTTGTTTCATATATGATATTATTTGATAGTTTAGAGCTAAAAATATAACATATTATACATATACTTATCGAAAGTAAGACACTCCAGCCGTTAAATTGCTTTTTCGGGCATTATTCTAGCAACTTTTAAATAAACATTGCGGCACTGTGAAACCTGTTTACATTGGTTGTGTTTCAAGTGAATTAAACGAAATAAAAGCTCAAGTCTGAAGGGCGCTCTTATTTACTGATACGTATTTTTTGAGCCGACCCGATAATCTAGTTGGTATTGTTGATCAAAGGGGGAAGGGCCAAGCTCTAAAAACAAAATATGAAAGTGAAACCGCAGAATAATGCTGATGTATCGTATGATGAGTGAAGAGAAACGAAGACCCTTTTAACTGGTAACAAGGTGAGGATGACAATGCATCTGCATTTCGATTCTTAATCGATGACAGATATAGGTGTCTATGGTATGGGATTAACAATTTCATTGGTGCAGTGGCGATCAAACCCGGTTGCTCGCGTATTGTGAAATTTAGAGCGAGCCCTTACCATCTGGGCGATCGCCGCTCTTGTCCAATGTTTATATTATTTTTATTAGTTTGTTAAGCTGCGTTAATTTTAATATTATTAGTATAAGATTTAGTTTATAATGAAAAGAGGATACTACCGCATCAGGTATGACCTGTAAGGATATGACTTATCCTTAGGCTGTATATAAGTTAAGCCAGCTTTAAAAAGGGACAGTATTTCAAACTTCTATATCTCCAATCCACCAGAAGAAGATCAGAGTACTTAATCACACACCGCACTATTAATAATAATAATAATCATCATCATTACAACCTTTCACAAGTCGACTGCTGAATATAGGTCTCCCCCAAGGAATGCCACAAAGCATAGTCCCGAGCCACCTGCATCCATCGACTTCCTGCATGTCTTATCAGGTCGTCACTCCATCTAGTGGGGGTTCGCCCTACACTAAGCCTACCGGTATGAGGCTGCCACTCGAGAACCTTTTTTCCCATTGCCATTTCAGCTTACTAATCTGTGTTGTGTGGCTATGTCGGTCACTCTGGTTCTGCTGCGGATATCCTCATTTCTAAGTTTCACTTTCTTTTTCTAAGCCCTTTCCATAGCTCGCTGAGCAACCTTGATCGTCGTCATACGGCGAGCAGTGAAGGACCACGTCTCTGATCCGTAAGTCATCACTGGCAACACACACTGGTTGTACAATCTAGTTTTTAGATTTTGAGGTATACCTGACGAGAAGATGGGTCGTAATTTCCCGAACGTTGCCCAGCCGAGTTGAATCCGTCGATTGCCCTCTCGGTCGAAGTTGGAATTATCTAGTCGGACTATTTGTCCCAGGACAACAACTTCAAGCTTAGTGCTCTCAACAACTACCAGCCTAGGTGTGACATGGACATTAAATATGATCTTTGTTTTGTCCAAGTTTATCTTACGACCTGTCTGTTAGGAGACACAGTTGAGGTCATTGAGAATAGTGGTCGCCAACGGATCTGCCGATGTAGTCGTTATGACTATATCGTCGAGAAATCGAAGGTGAGTGATGAACTCGCCATTGATATTAATACTGTATCCTTTCCAGTCCAATAGCTTGAAAACGTCTTCCAATGCAGCGGTGAAGAGTTTCGATGATATAATGTCACCGTGTCTTACACCTCTCTGCAGTTGGATAGGTTTCGTACTCTGGTTCTGTACTCGGATAGCCATCGTAGCCCTACTGTACAAACACTCCAGCACCTCGATATACCGACAGTCAACTTGAGACTACTGAAGGGACTGTAGCACCGCCTAAATTTAGACGGAATCAAAGGCTTTTTCATAAGCCCACATACGCCATGCAAAGTGGCAGATTGTACTCATCGGTCTGCTGTGCAATGTGCCGCAGGGTATGTATGTGGTCTATGGTACTGAAGCCTTTTCAGAACCCGGCTTATTCGGGAGGCTGGAAATCATCGAGTCTGCGTGCGAGACGATTCGTAATGACTCTCAAAAACAGCACGTAGACGCGGCTCAGAAGGGAAATCGGTCTGTAGTTCTTCAAGAGAGCGTTGTCGCTTTTCTTGAAGAACAAGACCACCACACGTTTGTTCCACGTCTCCGGAGTAGTGCCACCATGGAGAACGGAATTGAAGAGAGTGTTCCACCCGCTTTCAGAAGCTCCGTGGTAATTCAATCCTCGCCTGAGGCCTTGCCATTTTTAAGGTGCTGGAAAGCCATTCTAATCTCGCTCAAACTGACGTCCGAGATATCATCCGAATAGTGTCTTTTTTTTTGCTCTTGGATCGATATTCACACTTGCGTGTGGCTCCAACGATGATGTGTACAGCTGCCTATAGAACCTCTCAATCTCACTCAAAATCTCAGGTGTCCCTGAAACGATGCTGCCACACTCAGTCTTCAGCTTTGATAGTTGGCTTTTTGTGGCAGACAGATCTCTGGAAAAGACTGGAGCCCTGGTTCCGCTCAATCGCTTCCTCAATACGAGCTGTATCGATGTTGCGTAAGTCCCGTCGCATGTATTTGGAAATCTGTCTGTTCAGTCACCTGTATGCTGTCAAATCTGCTGAAGACTGCAGCTTCATTTGCTCTCTAACAGCCATGAGGTTAGGAGGGTAATCGAAGAGTTTTTGTGTTCTTCTGCGGCGGGTCTTGCAGAACTTAGCTCTGACCGCATGGACAGTTTCCACGAGCTTGTCATTCATATCTTCCACTGCATTGCAATCTTCTAGGCAATGAAAACGGTTCCGTAACTCGAGCTGAAAGGTTTCTGGAATTTGGATTGGAGCACGAGTGGGACGGAGTGTTGACTTCATTAGACGAGACCTCTCCAACTTAACGTTTAGGTAACATTTCATTGTGTTTCTGACCATTCGATGATTTCTGCCATTTTTAACCCTTGCGATCACTGAGGCATCACTGAACAGTTGCCGTCTAGTCGTCATAATGAAGTCAATTTCATGTTTTGTCGAACTGTTCTGAAAGAAAGAGTTCATCATAAAGAGTCCCCTTTTCTCCATGAAGTTGGCCAGCTGTTGGCCCCTTCGGTTCCGTTGCCCTATTCCAAGTTTCCATACTTAAGAAAGAAAGGTGAGCTGAATGCTCACCTTTCTTTCTTGTGCCCAGCTTTGCGTTGAAGTCTTCCATTATCACTGTATAGTGGGTTTTGTAGGGATCCATGGCCCTAGAAATGTCCTCACACATTTCCTCCACCTCCCCATCGGGATGTGCCGACATTGGTGCGTAAACCTGTATGACCTTCAGCGAATACCATTTGGAGATTCTGAAAATAAGTACGCAACCCTCTTCGACAAACTTCTAATCCTTATAACGTTGTTAACGAGAGACTTGTGGACGATAAATCCAACACCCCCTTGGGACAGATGGTCACCCTCCCGGTGATAGAATAAGTTGCCAGATTCGAGAATCACCGTGTTCTCCCCCTCCCTTCGTATCTCGGATAATTCTATAATATTCCAGCACAACTTGTCTATCTCTTCTTTCAGCTCCAGGATCTTCTCGTCAGTACTTAGGGTGCGTGCGTTGTATGTTACCAGGTCGGGTCGTTTTAGGTGGCAACTGAATCTCCACCGGAGACTGGAGGCCGTCTATTAGTGTCGTTGCTCATGGGTTTATTGCCATAGTTGCCACGCTTGGCGAGCGGGTTGGCAACCGCAGTTTTTTGCTGTACAGTTGCTGTTATCAGGAAGATCATGCTGCCCATCTTCTGCCTGTTTCCCTCTGTCGTCTTTTACGACACCTACGAAAAGGTATGGGGTAGTGTGTATTCTTAACCGCCACTACACGGCACTATTAATAATAATTTAAATAAAAATGATTTTACTTACAACTTTATAAGAACGTGATAAAATACCTGGATTTCTTTGTAAGCCTTGAGTACCCGCTGCCATTGTATCAGGTGCTACTGGAGGCAAGGGTGGCATTGGTGGACGTTCAGGGGGTACTAACACCAAGTAAAAACGGAAAAAAAATGTATGAGTTAACATTAAGGTACCGTGCCAAATACCGTATGCATGTAAAAAAGAACTAGGATGCATAGGAAGATATATATGGCGGTGGCAAGAGGTGGTCACTTGAGCACGGAAGAAGCACGCTCTCAAGCAATACCAACGAAAACAAAACAAAACGGAAACAGCAGAATAACGCTGATGTTTCATTTCGTGAGTGAAGAGGACTGAAGAACGTTTTAACTGGTAACGAGGCATCCAATCTTAGTCTGTAGGGGTGACATGCATCTGCATCTTAATTCTTTATTTTTAAACGTGGTAGAGCCATGCTGCAGTTATATTATGGTTATAGCACGTATTGGCCGGCTCGACCGGGGAAGTACCACGCTCTCACATAATACCGAAGTAAAATAGCAGCTTAGTGCTGCTGTATTTCGTATGGTGAGTGTAGAGAACCGGAGGGCCTTTTTACTGTAAAAGATGCATTTCATCTTAGTCCTCACGGCTGACAACGCATCTGAATTTTGATTTGCAAACGAGGATAGATATTGATGTCTATGGGCCCCAGCAACCACTTACTATCAGGTGGACTGTGTGCTCGCATGTCACCCTTTACTTATTTAAAAAAAAATTGATGATAGATGTAAATGTCTACGGGTCTTAGCAATCACTTCGTATCACGAATCGTAGCACGAGTGCCGGCTTGACCCGGGTAGGATCACCCTCTCACAAAATACCATAGTAAAATTGTGGCTTAATGCTGCTGTGTTAAGTATGATGTGTGTAGAGAACCGGAGACCCCTTACATTTTTATTCTTTATCGAGGCTAGATGTAGATGTCTATGAGCCATAACATCCACTTACCATCAGGTGGACTGTGTAGTCGTTTGTGACTCTTATTCTATGTAAGAAAAGTTGATTATGTGCTATCTTGTTACCCTTATTCTATAAAGGTAGTATCAAAGGTTTGATCGGATAATTTAGCAATGTATTACGTCTGGCATATAAACAAGATGGTTATACTATCATCTTTTAAAAGCATGAGATCTTGATGGGCTCTTATTCTGTCATTGCTCGGAAGAGACTACACTCGTGATATTTTTTCATTAGAAAAGCACTTACCCATTCCGGGTTTCAAGTCAGCCATGGCTTCATAAAAGTCGTTCGTCAAATATTCAACATCAGAGTGTAATCGCTGCACAAAGGCTTGTAATGCAGATAACTCTTCTTTAGTCGCCGGATTAGGTCCAGGTTGCAATGGATATAGTGGTGGGGCAAAAGTTGATCCTAGAGGCACCTCAGTCACCGGTCGGTCGGTAATAACGGTCCCTTGTGGTGTAAGTTGTTGTGGTACAGCTCCAAGTTGGTATGTTAAACCTCCAGGTTGTTGCGGCACAGCTCCAGATTGTTGCGGTATTGCTCCTGGATACAGTGGTACTGTTCCAGGATGTTGCGGATAATGCTCCGTTCCTGTATACGCAGGTGCACCCGGTTGTTGTTCGACGTATGGCCCAGAACCTGGTTGTGGTAAAGCTCCTGAAGGTTGTTCAGATCCAGCAATTTGTGGAACTCCCGGTTGCATTATCATCCTTTGTTCTGTTCCTGGTGGAGCTATGGTCGATGGTGGCAATCTATTTTGATAATATTTAATAATCCTTTATTAAATTTTGTAAGTAGTAACATAATAATAAATAAAATTTAGAAATTTAACGATATTTTGCTTTGTGACATTGCGGTGACTAACGAACAATCAGCCCACCTGATTGTAAGTTCATACTGTACTTCACACACACTGCAACCAATTTAAACAAAGATAGGCTCTTTGTTTTTTTTTTGTTTTTTTAATTTACTGGCGATAAAGGAAAACATCGTGAGGAAAAATGCCTGTTAAAAAATCTTTTTTGAATACATGGTGTGTAATCGTAGTAGAGATTTTTATTGAGAAATAAAGTTTTATAAATCAAAAGAATACTAATGTGGCGTGATGATATACAGGGGTTATCTTTCAAAGAGTAGCCAAATTTTAAAATTAAATTCAAATATATAAACAATGATATAGCGTTATTGCAGTTTTTAAATATACAAGTAAATAAGTCTTCTACTTTTATTTGAAATTATCCCAAATCGAAAAACAGTTAGAAAGAAACCAAAGAAATAAATAAAATAACTTACAAGTTGGAGGCATGTTCTTTGAATGCGTCTTGCAGGCCATCCGTGCCAGAAATTAGGTCTTGTATGAGCGAGCTGAGTTTGGCGATGCCGGTCTCTGCCGCTTCCAGTCGCGACGACACGTTGAGTGAAGTCCACATATCAGTAATTGCTTTTAGGTTAGTCTGCGATCTGTAGAGAAAGACGTGAATGACGATGTTAGCAATACAATTTTTTTTATAGAATAAGCTATGACCAACGAGCACACAGTCCACCTAATGGTAAGTGGATGCATAGAATACTATAATACATAATAGAATGGCTGTCAAACTTATTTTGTACGAGATTCGGCGTCGCCGGGAGCACACATACAAGCAATTACGTCGTATTATCACTACTACAAACCCGATTCGCAGTTTTGACAGACAGAGTAAATTTACACATTTTAGACCTTTGATTAATGTTCAAAATCATCATTAAAAATCGTTTAAATTTTAACACATGTTTACGTGTAAATAGTGTGCAATTTGGTAATTTCTAAATAATTTGAATGCGAAATTTCGAAACGATTGTTACGTCAAAACACATCTCGCGTTGACATTTATATGTGTGAATTGACAAGTTAGTGACATTTTAGTGACTACACGGGCTCCGCCCACTCCCCCGTTCTATTATGTACGTATTATAGTAATTAATGTTATGGCCCATAGACATCTACATTTATCTTCACTTAAGGATCAAAATGCAGAAGCGTTGCTAGCCCTGAGGACTGAGATGGATTGCCTCGTTTCCAGTAAAAAAGGTCTCCGGTTCTCTACACTCACCATACGAAACACAGCAGCATTAAGCTGCTATTTTACGCTGATATTCTGTGAGAGTGTGTATACTGTAATGCAATACAATACTCGTACAATAACTTTATTTCAGGCATCAAGGACTTAAAAATTAAGAACATTGGCCGAAAGCAATGTATACCTTAACCTAAAAATATATATAAAATATAAATATAGGTAATACTATTTAGGGAACTTTCTTCTTTGCCGTATTCCTATATCGGCGAAACACTACCCCGGAGGGCTAGAAATCAGGAGCAAGGAGTGTCTTTTTGTATTTTGCAGGAACCTGGAGTATGTAGGATTTGAAGCCTAATTTAACATATTATGTATAATTTAATTAATAATTTATGATTGATTATAAATATAAGGTACGATAAGATTGATTTAAAAATATGATGAAACGAGACGATAAGAAGAGAGTAAATAAAGCAAAAAAAAAAAAAGAATTAAAAAATATATTTCTGGTAGGTCATGTAGTGGCTGTGAAAAATATCCATTACCCCTTATCGCCCTGTGAGTGTAGTGAGAGGCAACAGAGGTAAAACAAACCAGGAGATGGACAGCAGTGTCTTTCTAAAAACGATTAGAAAAAAAAAACTACGATTGTCAATTCACACGCCGAGTTTAGTAACTACGACAAATATTCCCTTACGAGTCAATCTAAGAGTTATACAAGTACTACGAGTTATTTTTTTTAAATAATTCAACGAGGCTGAAAGCCCTGCTGGCAAGCGGATAAATAACGGCAATATTAAACGTCTTGCATTTTTAACGTTGATCTCCGAAGTTATTTTTTGTATATTTTTCGTGTGTTTTACGTGTACGAGATAGTGAAGCCGACATCTGTTTAAGGCCATGAGATCGCACGAGCATTTCCCATATAGTCAAATCTTACGACACCTGTATGTGAGATAGATTTACTACTAATTGATTACATCATATCTAAGTAATATACAATACTGCGCGGACTGGATATGAATTTTGAATAGAACGGAACGCTATTACGCCATGATTCCTAGCGGAAATGGCTTGGGTTTATAACTGACAGCAACACTCAATTTTCTTGACATGCTTATGACACTGTTGCGCGTCATAATTAATGCCCGGTATACAGCGGGTGATTATTAGCGCAATCTAGTATCAAGTAGCAGAAATAGGAGCGTCAAGATTTTCCTAGATCTTTTACACTAGCGTCATCTAGTGTCGAGTGGTGAGAGCTTTCTATATACGATACCATTTACGATACATATTTTATTTATTTTGATGAAAATACAACATCTGATTAAACAACATTTGGTCACAACTTAAAATTTAAAAAAAAATGAACAAATATAATTATAGTTTTATTTTTTGCACTGTCAGACGCACTTAATGTGAAACGAAAAATGTCAATTGTCAGAAGAAAAGTGCTATCAGCATTTTTATGTTTTCTGCTTCTTATGGTGTCTTATGGTTCTTATTGTTCTCAAAACGTTTAGTTCGCTTAATAATACTGGATGACTTTTTTATACAGTCTGAAAAAAAAATAGGGTGTAACATGTGAACGGAGTATAAGCCTATGGTACTGATATTTTACAAACAATAAAAACCAAACATTTGAATTAAATAAATAAATCAATTATAATCTATCGAAATTCAAATCATATCTGCCCTACTTTACGAACATCAATAAAACAATAAATTTGTTAGTGATCTTTGACCTTGTCACTTCGCAGAGTCACAGACTATGGTAGATATGATTTAATTTCGATAGATTTTAATTTATTTATTTAATTTAAAATAAAATTGTATCTATTTATAGTAAAATATCAATGATTCTACTCCGTTCACATGTCACACCCTATTTTTTTCCAGACGGTAAAAAAGGTCATCCAGTATATATACCTGACTTCTTCCAAAATGTCTTCGTTCTTCGGAAGGCTGCCATAGACACGCTCCCTGAGATCATCGACGATGTTTTCCAATACGTTGAATTTACTAAGAGTGACGATAGATAGTCCTTCAGTAGAACCAGCGTGCGGTGAAGGAGTGACTTGAGTTTTATGTGGGCTGGCAGAGTGCGGCAGCTTCTGAGTAGCTAATATCACACAATAAATGAATACATTAAGTGCCACCATCACAATAATTTCTTTATCAACACAAATTCATTTTTCAAAATAGTCGTAAAGTAATAAAATTACATTGAATTTTATTCAATAAGACTATACTAGCCACCTGCCCTGATTTCGCCTGGGTAAGTTCCTAAACATTATCGTCATCATCACAGCCCTTCACAAATCCACTACTGATCATAGGCTTTCCCCAAGGAATATCACAAAGCATGGTCCTGAGTCACCTACTCATACATCTATTAATATGGCGTTGTTTTGATTTCCGATATGTTTTATTTTATCAATATTTCGACTTGTCAAATAAAAGCTTTTCGGATAAAATATAGATCTAGCTGCTGTGATTCGTATGTGAATGTGAAAACGAGGCATTCCATCTTAATGCTCAGTGGTGACAACTTCTTCGCATATTGATTGTTAAACAATAATAGATGTAGATGTCTATAGATCACAGTCACAGGTACAATTTACTTATATAAAAAGGTAGTTTCGGACTGTGTTCTGTGGAATTCCATGGGAGAGGCCTAAGTTCAGCAGTGGCCTTGTGAGTCTGTAATGATGATGATGATGATGATGATGATGATGATGATGATGATGATATATCAATTATTAAAAAAAAACATTTGTTAGTCTTAAAAGGCGAGCAACAAGTCTTAAAGCGAGCAACGTTACAAATTACGAACGTAGCGCTGGTACTTGTTATTATAAAATATAGGTAGTCTATGACACTACGCAGATGAGAAGAATCTACTGACACTGCACTACACTGCACTTCAAATTCGTCTTTATTATTATATTAGTAGGATTTGTTTTACTGCCTAAGAGTCGGCGCGGGTACAAAACCATCCTCTTACCTATATCTGACACCAAATAGCTGTACTTGCAATTACTGTGTTCCGGTTTGAAGGGCTGAAGTCAGTATTACAGCCTGTGAGGCACTCCATCTTAGTCCTCAGGGTTGATAATGCATTTGTAGCTTTCTTTGTGTAAAGTTGGCTGCAGGTGTCCATGGACTGCAGTAACGTCTCACAATCGGTGGACTGTAAGTTCGTTTTTCTCTTTGTTTTTATAAATAAACTTACTTATATGCGTCTCTTGACCCTTTATCAGCTGATTTCAGGTATTTTAATTTTCACTGCTGGTTTTATGTTCAGGTATTTTTAATGAAATTATCGTTTCATTTAGCTGTATTAACATGATGGAGCGTGAATAAAGCTAATTAAACGTTGTAATTTTTTTTCATCGGTATCGATTTTATTTTTGTCCCATCAATAAAAGTATCGTTAGCACTATCGTCTGTCTTCGTTTTCGTGAGCGTTTCACAAACACCCGTTATACATCCGAAAAACTAACTCCCCTTTTGGGGAGTAGGTTAGAAATAGTAGATAATTATGTCGAATAAAAACTAATCGAAAATAATAAACTTTTTTTCAATTTAAAATAGATTACGCTGTAGTTTAGTTTACCTTTCGTAGAGTCCATTTTTTTACCATGCTCCGCTGAAAATGAGTAAATACGGTCAATAATAGTTAATCTATAACTATAATTATTATTAAATAACTAAAGGTATAGATTAGAAGTTATGAAGGTTTGACTTAGTTGCAATTTTTTTGCCTGTTTGTGTGTTATCCATATTTATATCAAATAATTCTTCAGTACATGTTTACGTCACTGAACTCTTGCTAAGTGACTGGGCCGATTTTGATTTTTTTTGTGTGTGTTTGAGTCCCTGGATAGTTTTGATTTACAAATTGATGTGCTAGGTGGGACTGCAATTAGGTTCTAGGTTTTATTTTTAGCTTTTAGGCTGGGCCGTCAGCTCGGCCCACTATTTACATATAAACCAAAATCTAAGCGGTTTTCATGCACTTGAAAGCTCATATTAAAATTTACGATAGAATTTTTCTCTTAGAGACTGGAAATGTCTTGATGGACTTTACATGTCTTTGTAATTATTATTTTTCATTACTCAGAGGTGCAGGCTTCTTCACTACGTCTTCCTTCACTGCCGAGCCAACATAGTAAATATACTAACTATTAATAGCATTCAAAATCGCAATCAAGAATTTAACTTAACTGGCGGTGATCGAAACTAAGTTGCTTGCGTACTGTGAAATTTATAGCGGGCGCTATTTAAAACTAAGCCTCTAATAATTTTGAAAATAGTAATAACTATTGTGCCTGTGTGATTAAATTGCAGATATAGCATTTCATTGTATGATGAGACGAATGTAAAATAGCACATAAAACTGTGCTGTAGATCGGATGCTATTTATGTTATTTATTTGCTTGCTTATCCGCGATTCATAAGCGTACGCGCATATGAAATTACACGCATTAATTTGAAACGCTTTCTTTTTTATTGGTTGTTGGGAGGTGATTCACTAATCCAAATATTTATCAACATTCTCTCGAAAGTGATGAGAAAATGCGTTATGGCAGAAATAAATGGTACAGAGGGTCGCAGCAGGACTGTAAAAACTACCGTGGCATCAGCCTTCTTAGCATTGTGGGAAAACTGTATGCTAAGGTACTGATTGAAAGGGTCATGAAAGAAACTGATGGAAAAAATTTGGTAAGTGCAAGCGGGATTTAGAAAGGGAATGGTATGTACAGATCAAGTCTTTTCCATGCGCATGATCGCGGAGAAGTTTCTGGCCAAAAACCAAAAGGTTTTTTGTGCGTTCATGGACTTGGAAAAGGCCTATGACAGAGTGGATAGGGATTTGCTATGGCAAACACTGAACTCATTTGGGTTGAGCCTGGCTTGATACAGGGATTGGAGTCTCTTTATAGGGACTCTAGTGCTTGTGTTAGGATCAACGTGGTCTACTCGGACTGGTTTGACATCCATAAAGGTGTCAGACAGGGCTGTGTGGCTTCCCCGTGGCTGTTCAACCTATTTATGGACAGTTGTTTGCAAAATTTGAAAGTTGAAGAATGCGGATTAAGAATGGGTGAGTTAACCGTCAAATGCCTTTTGTACGCCGATGATCAAGTCATTCTTGCGTCGTCGGCGGCCGAGTTGCAAATGATGGTTACATTAATGAACGGATCATTAAAAGAAAGGGGTATGAAAGTGAACGCAAGTAAGACGAAGGTTATGGTTTTTGAAAGAGAAGAAAGTAAAACGATTTGATGAAATAAGAATAGAAGGGGAGTTGATCGAGCAAGTAGATGAGTTTGTATATTTGGGCTGCGTATTTAGCAGGGATGGGAGATATGATAAGGATATAGAACGACGAGTGAATGCGGGAAATAGAGTAAATCGGGCCTTGCACTCTATTGTGAAGAGTCAAAATGTGTCGAAAAAGGCACGTATGGCAATTCACAATGCTGTGTTGGTCCCTTACTTTAACGTATGGTAGTGAAAGTTGGGTGTGGCAGAATCGCCAAGCACGAGAGTAGAATAAACGCAGTAGAAATGCGGTCGTTAAGGAGTATGTTAGGGCTGAATCTGAATGACAGGGTAAGAAATTGTGTAATAAGAGAAGAGTGTGGTTTGCAAGATGATGTTGTGACCAGGATTAAGAAAGGAATGCTTCGGTGGTTTGGTCATGTGGAAAGAATGAAAGAGGAAAGAGTGACAAAGAAAATTTATGGTGCAGAAGTGAATGGCAGAGTCGGAAAGGGACGTCCTAGGCGAAAATTTATCGACCAAATTGGCGATTTATTGAAAACGGGCCAAATTAGGAGTACCCTTAACCGACGAGCATGTATGCGTAGGTGTATGGATGTGAAGGAGGCAAGCGAGGTGTGTCAGGATCGTGTTCGTGCCAAATGGAAGTCTGTAGTCTCTGCCTACCCCTGGGTGACAGGCGTGAGTGTTTATGTTTATGTTTATGTTTAAATGGTACAATTGAACTGTCTTCCTCGCTTTGCGTCACTGTTTTGACGATAAGTGAACTTATTTGAAACTTCAAACCATAGGTAAAGATTTAAAGAATTTTTCCTGAATACGTATTCTCTATATTTTTTTTCAAGACATATTTGAGGCAACGTAAGTCTTCAATGACGTACTTTACTGCGACACTTATTTGGTAGATTTAATACTTTTTTCTTTGAATCCATCTGGAATTCCTATACACTGGTTGCAGCTAAAAGTTGATGCTTCATTAATGCTGATCCGTAATTAAGATTTAATTATTTAATCATTATTAATTTGAGGTACTAAAATACTACTTATTTATTGAAAAAGTGTAAGTACAAATTTGAGGTCTCTATTTTAACAGAATGTTGCCGCAAGAAGCATGTGTATATTCCATATTATATTATATTATACATAATTTCATTTTTCATCCCTGTAATTCAAGCGAAAAAAATTAATCGAGGTTCCTTGGTTGACTATGGATTTGTATTAAGGTGAACCTTACGACCTATAACAAAATAAATTATTACTTACTTCGTTCCGGTCTTTTTACGCGTTCCACTGGAAAATAAAATATTTTTTATATAAATGTAAAAGCTGTGTATGTGTATAATGAATATAAAAAGCAATAGGTGTCATAATACATAAAACACAATGATACATGAAACACGAAAGGATCGTTATAAATAAATATTATTTAGTAATATGTACAGTAAAATAAGTACGTCATAGAGCTACCCTACTATGTTATGGTCGTAGCACGAAAGGGTTGGATCGTCGGGAACCGATGCATACCAGCTTAGTCCTGAAGGGTGTGTGAAAAAGATATAGATGTCTATGGGCCACAGTATCCACTTACCATCAGGTGGAATGTGTGCTTGCTTGTCATCCAGTTTATAATAAAAAATATATTAAACAAACCAGATGTACTAGTGCTTCCAAGCTTCCGTGTAAGTACTATTATATATTTGCATACATATGAGCATATATATATATATATATATATATATATATATATATATATATATATATTAATCAGACCATACATCGTTATCTATTTTACCACCTTGAGGGTTACCACAATGAGGGTCATCTTATTGAAAATCCTGGCCTCTCATTTACTTCTGGACCCGAGTGTACTAATAACTGCTGCTCTCATACTGTTGTATTTTATAATATATATTATAAAATACAACAGTATGAGAGCAGTGGCTCAACGGTTAAAAGCTCCGACTGCAAATCTGTAGATCGAGGATTAGATGCTGGGCGAGCGTGCAAAATTTAACTATCTCATCACAAGAAACATGGAGGTAAGTTACCCATTTTTTATTCTTAATTTACTGTTAAATCTCAAGTATAATTTTTTTATAATGTTTAATTTATAAAAACAGCTACCAATAGTTTTTTCCAATAACTTTGATATTTTTCCTTGAATCGTTTTTAATGTTTATATATTATTTTATGTAATTAACTATGATCTCCTAAAAACTGCGTGGAATGCCGCAAGTTCGTTAAAATCGGTTGATTTGTTCGTGAAATATTGATTTTTGAAAAAAAATTAAAAAAAGGGCTCGTCCAAAATTATGACGTCTATGATCTCTTCGAGCTCTTCTTTTTCTTAATAATAGGTTGAATTTGGAGCACTTTGCATTTGAAATTAGCGGGAAGTTCCAGGGATGGCCTGTAGGGTCAACCGTATTTTTTTATTGTCAAATACCTTATATCCTTAATTAACTATCTGAAACACCTAATAGTTATTATTCAAATACGTAAATGTCAATTATAAAATTTTATTAATTTTGAATTGAATAAACATCTAACTAAATGTGAGTGAAGCTAATTATTATACAGCGATGTTCACATCATGTCAGATTCTCGGTTAGGGTGTAAAAGTAAAAGTCAAATTACATTGTCATATATATTTTATTTGAATTTATTTTTCTTAGTACATAATAACATAAATAATATATTAAACGTTTGTTATTTGTTAAACCATATTTCATAAAACATTTTAATAAAATCTTTTAACGACATACCTCTTAAGTTTAAAAAAGTAAAGAATTTCCTACCACAAACAAATGAAAATATAATTTTAATTGGCCTATAGTTGTAGATCTTTTGTTTCAATTTCTTATTAAAAATAACCATCATCATCAAACCATCCTTATTCACATATATTGCTGCTCAATGTCATCCTGGTTTTATATCGGGGTCTAGATTATTGATCATATAAACAGGTGGTGTCCCAGGAATAGCACATTTTTTCTGTATCTGTGTATATTCTTACACAGTCTAAATTTAACTACTGAAATCTACACTTACATTCATGTTTTTATCAATTTCAATAAAATTGTCAAACTCAGCATAAACAATACAGTTAACGGTTTGAGTGAGTGCGGTTTCAAATCTTACTTCTAATCGAACAGTCCCATGTCGCATAAGGCTCCGATGAGTAGTTGAATTTGCTTGACAAATCGGTAGTTGAGTCAAAAGCTATTAAACAGTAACCATTAGCGTAACTATCTTTAGCAATACCATTAGCTTCATACAGAAGATGTATTCCAGTTCCGTAGAACAAAGTATGGTAGGTTAAGGTAAACAAATTAGTACTATATGCAGGTCGTAAAACTTTAGATGGAATTTGCATTCCATCAATATAAAGACCGAATGTGTTTATACCATAATTATCAAAATCAAGGATTCTATAAAAGACTATCATTGCAAGCTGTATTATCTACAAAACCAACTACACAACTTTTTGGTACTTGACCTAGGAAAACATTACCTAGGGTTTTTTGAATTGTACCTTGAATTCAGCTCTAGTAACGGGGTATTTAGTGGTTGTGATGAAAATTTTTTTGATGAGTAAGCAAAACTGATGAACTTATACGAGCTTTCCGAATCATAAGTGTAGCATCAGTAATAGAAACTTTAAATTTTACATCATTAGATGAACACCGTACTAATTTTACACACATTTCAATACCACTTACAAAAAGTTTATCTTAAATAAATCTCCATGTAAATGAACTATTATTTCTACCTCCTTACTTTCCTTAACAAGAGTGTATTTTCGTGTATCCTTTCTTTGAATCATCAGTTGAATTCATTTTTCCAGCTGTATTTTCATACCAGAGTCCACAAGTGAGATGTAATTGTTTTGCTGGTGAGGCGTAATTCATAGTGTTTCAATATACGCGCAATATCCGTAAGTTATATCTTGTCTTGTTACTTATATCTTGCTTCATCATTAAATAATTGGAGGTAAAATGTTTTTGATTTAAAAAAACATCGAACTGACTAAATAGTGAGTGAAGCCAATAATTATTATAGCAAAGGTGTTAAGTCCAAATTTAGAATTTTGCTTTTATATGAATCAAGGTGTGCGACAAATCTATGTAGTCATCGCCTGTGATAGAGATTTAAAATTTTATTAGTCCATTGTCGCTAAGAGACGAAATTTGTTGGTGGTGAATTCATTGACCATTATCTATACTAGTTTGAGTAGCTGGTAATGCAAATAAATCCTATTCAGACTTGATACATTCACAAGAATGGTTATGTAAGAATGAAATTTTTAAAACTGAAAATATATCTTTGATTTTATATAATTAATATTTCTTGTTCCTTTTTTCAATGCTTCCCATTTTAATGTTGTGATTGACTGATACTTAGTAATTGTTCTCTTTTACTTTTAAATCCGGAACCTTTCATTACTCGGTCTAATTTATCAACTGCTTTCTATTTAATGGATAGGTTGACAAACAAACACACAGTCCACCTAATGGTAAGTGGTTGCTGCGGCCCACAGACTGTTATCCTCGATTACAAATCAAAATGCAGATGCGTTGTCACCCGTGAGGACTAAGATGGAACGCCTCGCTTCCAGTAAAAGTGTCTTCGGTTCTCCACACTCACCATGCAAAACACAGCAGCGTTAAGTTGCCATTTTACGCTGGTATTCTGTGAGAGCGTGGTCCTTTCCTGGTCGAGTCGACCCATTCCATTCATCCATTGTATAAAAATAATGGTCAAATAAATCTTTTTCACATATATAACATACTGTAGCTTTTCCTATAGACTTTAATCTTCAAGGGTAAGAGGAAAAGGAGCAATTCTAAAGCAATTTTTTGTACGTATGATTTTTAAATCATCTTGATATTTATTCAAGAAAATATTAGAACAATTATCTCCGCCGTATGTTACATACTTTTTAGAAAGATTATCATCAAATAAACATGTATGCAAAACAAATATGCAAATCTGTACATATCATGTCTCTGAACATTGGTGGTTGATGATTTATTAGGATAAGCAGAACAAAAGGCAATAGGTTTAAAAAAGATTCCAAGTCAGCATTAAATCAGGAAAGGAATACTATTTTTACCATACTTAACAAAATAAATTTTATCATTAAAGATATTTCCACCGAACCAATCTTTTTTAAAGGCGTTTGAACTGGGCAATTCAGTTCACAATCAGAAGTTTGATGTTGACTCAGTGCTTAGATTTTTACAAAATATAACAGGCAACCATCAAATATGTGAATATCACCATTTCTCAAAGAGATTTGCTTACTTACTAACCGAGAAAATTTTCTAATGTAGCAGTAATGTCCATTACTCCCATAGGTAATGTAAATTAAAACGATGTGAGTTGATTTAAGGGACTATGTAAAATGTAATGGTCCAATTACATTGTGAGTTTTATTCTCATGGTTATATTCCATGGTATGATTTTATCGCTCTATTTTGTAAATATCTGCTAATTTAACAGAAAATGAAATCTTATCAAATTTCAACTTATTCTCATTTTTCAAATAAGAGTTGACACCATCAACGTTTTTTGATGCTGGATAAAGTGGGCTCTCAGCCTTGAGAGCTCACTTTAGACATTGCGCGTCTGCATTTTTAACTTAAATTTATTTATATTCATATCTAAACTAATTATATACTTAAGACTCCCCCATATCTTTTTTCTCGAATTCACTCTGTGCGTTGAAGTTTGTTTTAGTGACTCTATTAATATATGGATTTCATTTTTTTTTTTCAAATTAATTAAGAAGTACCTGGATGACCGAGCTTTGCTCAGTTTTTTTTTTTGAAATTATATTTAGATACAAATTACATACTGATGAAACAAAAATAATATTTTTTGATCTTATTAACATAATAGAAAAAAAATACGTGTGGCACTCGGTGACTGCCGCGGTAAAGCTATTGCATAGCATTTTTTATCAACTTATGCAATTACAATTATTTATTTATTTTATTTATGCAGTTAAGTCTTTGATATTAAATCAAGTTACACTTTTTGAGAGTGGTGACCGATAAGAAAACAATTTTTTTTCTCTTATTGAATAAATGAGAAGTTAATATTGTTTAAAATATTTTTAATATCTTACAATACATGTAGGTTATTCAGGAATTTTTATCATTCAGTTAGCAGCTAGTGTACACGCATACGTCTAGTCGCACATACACACACACCGTGCCGAACTCTGCCGAGTGTCGAAGTCTGCCGAACTAAAACGACGTTAGACGATGCACGGCTTTCAACGCCACACCTCCGTACCCGTCGGAGTGGGGAGCGTGAGGTTTTTTTCGTTACGGAATTTCTGGATTCGGTCCCCGCGCTCAAGGCCCGCGATAGAAGCTATACAATAGCTTAAAAAACTGAACTGCAAATAGTTTAATTAAAATTTTCGTATTTTTAAAAAAATACTAAAAAAGGGATCGAAGTAATTGATTTTCTCACAAAAGAAGGAACTTGAAAAAAAAAAAGTCGGACCGACGACAGGACGCGAACGAAAGCATTACGATTCCGCGACCGCTCAATATCCACTTGAGTTATTACGATCATTAACACGTAATCAAAATTTACCTTCTTATATTGTAGCAGTTTTTCATTGCTTGAAAACACGGACAAAAAGACATTTTCTATAAATAAATCCTAGCTAGATCAATTTATTACCCCCGAAACTCCCTGGACACTAAATTTTATGAAAATCATCGCTGGAGCCGTTTCCGAGTTTTCGATTATTTAAACAAGCAATTCTTGTAAATATTTATATACAAGAATTGCTCGTTTAAAGGTATAGGATATAATTCTGGGTTTCAAAATCATAAAACTTATGTAAATTTTTATTTTGTTCTATAAAAATTGCACACAAAATAATGTTTACTTGTTTATTGTTTAATCGTTTATCGAATTATGACTCAACAGTTACTAGAATTTTTGGTCCTGCTAAAAATTTATCGTATATGTATAAATTCCTTTCCCAAAAACGGTTTCCATTAAACTTCATTTAGAAAATTGTCATGAATTTGAAATTCTTTATTTTTGTGATGGTTACTTTTTAAACGGTGTTAAATACATTTTATTATTGAAATGTTACGAGATGAGCATTGCACCACATCACTGTTGTCAGGCATCAGATCAACATTTCTTGAAGTCGATGGCTTTTCCAGTCGTTGTCTCTTCATTATTATTAAGATTATTTTCGGCATGCCGTTTTAAACCTCTACCATACTGTACGTTGACATTTTAGACAAAACAAAATATTCATTATATTTATAGGCAGATTAATACAATTATTATATTATATTAAAAATATACTGACAGTAAAGTAATAAGCGTTGTTTATACTCACGTTAGTTCAATTTGTTCGCAGATATCCACGAGACATTTATCAAAATACGAATCAAAAACTAATTGTTTAGTGTTCTTCACTGTTTTTACCATTTCACAGTTTTCAACTAACATATTGTCGAAATAGGAACAATCCAAGTCGTTCTCATCATCAGGAGCTGGTGAAAAACATGCACTAACAAACTTTATATCAGACATTGTTAGAAAAGGCAGAAGTTCACAGTGCAAAAAATTATTTATGAGTAACTTAACAAATTTTATTCTTCCCGTATTAATATAGACCAGGTAAATGAACAATATTTTTATGATACTTAAGAAATGAGTGTATTAATTAAGCGATTCCGGGCAATGATGACTAACTATTGTTTATTTCGTATAGTATATTCATTACCATTTTGCGCGTTGGATATTCCCTTTGTAATATCATAAACGATCTGTCGAGTTTTCCTTTGAATCATGTCGTTATTCGGTTTTGTGTAGTATTGAACTCGGAGATCAGCGTGTTTCAAATGTTACGACTGGTCTACATTCTCCAACTTCTTGAGTTCGTACACCTCTATTTTTATGATGCTTAGCAACTGTGCCATTATCTCTGTCAGTTGACACATAGGAGTTTTTATTCGGACGACCCACTGTTGACGATCTTTTTGTTTTAATTTTCTTCTTTGCTGGTTCCATAAAGAACTCATCAATAGACTCGTTGCTTCTTTTGTAACTATTTTTAATATGAGGGAAGTTCATTGTCATCGGATAGTTGGTATTAGTAATGTTTGAAAGAATTTTCTTCAAACGCAATATTTTCACACGCACTTTATTCATTAACAGTACTAGAACGAGAAACGTGTAACAGTTGAAATAATATTGACTTAAATAATAACTAAGTCAACAACGGGTTCCATTGATAGTATGATTACAAATTAAACATAATAAAAATATTATACAATACATTTGAGATTTAATAGTAAATTGAGAACAAAAAAATAAGGGTAACTTACCTCCATATTTCAATCAGTGGATTTTATTAGTAGACTCGAGACCATTAGTATGTAAGAGCTTAGAGATATATTCAATAAGGCGACCCTCATTACGCATAATTCATAGTTAGATGGTGATTAGATAACGAAGTATGGTCTGATTAATATTAAAACCTATCTTTGTATATAAAATTGATATCAAAAAACGGATCACTGTTTTCAATCGAGCATGTGCGAAAACCCCCAATTTGACACCAAATTTTTTTCTTTTTTTTTAGCGCTTGTTGAGCACTTGGTCGTCAAATGCCCCGAATTCGAGAAGTCTCGAATCGCTACTACTAATGCAGTTTACAATTTTTTCTTGTGTGTTTAGTAAGTAATGATGACGTAGAACAAAAAAATACGGTAATAATTTACCTATTAAAATACTTTGATGTTCTGATGGAGCAGGTACATGAGGAGCTGGAAATTAAATTTTAATATTAAATACACGCATCCTTTTACTTTCAATAAGTTCTATGCATAGTAAAACTTTTAATAAAGCTATGATATCTACTTTTAAATATCTTTGTATTTGGAACAATACAAGTTGAATAAATGGAATAACCCGAAAAATTACTGTAAAGGTCATTTGCAAGATTTTATGAAAATTTCTTTTTCATAAGTACATACATAATAAGGACATATCACCTGGTGAGTGGTAAATGATGCCCATAAAACCTTCATATATCATTTATTATCTATGAAGATGGTCGGATAGTTTTTTTTATTAAGGAATACATATAATACAATTAATAAATCAAAATGATAAAGTAAAAGTAGAGTTTTTGAATTCCGCTACTAACACATCCGTAATGCTTATTTATTATTAGGAATGGTAATTTGAAGATGTTTTGGTTATTACTAGAACCACATCTAAAAAATGAATAATTACCGAAGATTAACTCAGCATAACTCTTCATTTGCTAACTAAAGGATACGAAACATTACAGATAATCTCGCGGAAATTTGCTGCCATTCGGCGTGATCTGAGATTGCATGCAAAACGCAAATTTATGCAAAATGAAGGAAATGAAGCGATGCGTTGTGTATTTTGTAGTGATATCGAAGTTATTCATTGAATGCCCATAATTTTAATTATCTTAAAATTATATATTGAGCAATATATAGTCACTTTAATATCTATATATAAAAATCTATTGTTGTCCGTTAGTCGCGCAAAATCTCGAAAATGGCTGGACCGATATTATTTAATTTTTTTGTGTGGGTTTGAGTAGGTTTCTGGATGGTTTAGGGTCCCAATTGGAACCAGTAGGTGGCCCACCAGTAATATATAAACGGAGGATAATAATTATTGCTCGATTGCTACGTTACTATTTGGATATTTTTTATTTTAATAATATAATTATTATTAAAATAGCCAACGAGTATCTGACTTATATGATGTTAGTTGCAGAGCTGAAGAATGATAACTAATACGAAATGTCTCAAAACCTGTTATTGTACTGGCTATCTTAAAGAAACGAATAAAGCTAAAAATTAGAGTTGAGCCGATTAGTACTTTGGCCGATTGGCCGATCAGCCGATTAATCGGTTAAGAAATGGCCGATTAATCACCCCAACCGATCCCTGTTTCGACGGATTTCGGGAAAAAATTACAAATAAATTAAATATTTTTCCAAAAAGCCTCATTAATTTTTCAAATTGGGTATTTCTTTTTAACAAATTATTAGATGATTGGAGATTCTTTATTTAATAACATTACAGGAAAAACAATTTATTGTAATTTTTAGTACAGAAAAATAACAATTTAATTTAATTTGTAGTACGAAAACAATTTAGTTTTAAATACAAAAACAAGTATTGTTCTATTTGTCTTTTAAAAATCTACATACCTGAGATTATTTTTTTTAACCAAAGTTCCTATGTCCAGAATAATTAACATTAAAACATGTGAGACTGATTTTTCAATAAAAGCTATGTATGAACCTACTTATTTTATTATTTATTTGATTTACATATAAATCTGACGTGATTTTACGCATGGGAACTTTAAATTTAAGAAACTATTATTTTCTTAAATTTAAAGCTTTACTCATATCAATGTAGCCGCAATTACCACGCAGAAAATCACGAGAAACCTTTGCTGAAATTAATTAATAAAAAGCCGATTAATCGGCGGTTTTAGCCAATTAATCGCCGACTAACCGGTGACTACAAATTGGCCGATTAATCGCCTTCGCCGATTAGTCGGCGGCTAATCGGTCCAACTACTGAAAAGGGTTTCTAAACGATTGCAACGCCTTAAAAATATTGTACAAAGAGTTAAATATTTTAAGTAGAACTTACTAGGTTCCAATTTTCCTTCATCTGTGGATTCCGTTCCCTAAAAAAGAATATAAATATAACTTTAGAACTATATTGCTCTATTCAACCAGCCTGTCGTTATATTGTAACAATAATGATGGGAAACCTGAATGGTTACAATTTTATTTCGGTACTATTCCCTTGTAAAATCAAAAGAAACTAATTAAGAAATGTTAAGAATTAATTTTGGTACCAGTTTGGTTGGTTTTTCTCCAGTGTCCACAACGAATTCGCTAACAGCGATAGTTTGTACGGCTTCCCTTCCAACAGGAAACGCTGCTATGCTTCCTCTTAGCTCCACGTTTTTGTTTACTACATGAAGCTGCTGTGCTAGACAATGCAGCACAGTGTGGAGCATGCCGAAGTCTACTACCCCAATCTGTTGTCACATAAATATCATAGGTAATATTAAAGCAGTATATTACAGTTAATTTATTTGTATTGCATGTTTCGAGAATAAATTGCCAATATTGACTGCAAATTGATTCTACCAAATCGGAAGTTGTTTGTGAGGATCATAGAACACAATAATACATACATAATAGAACGGGGGAGTGGGCGGACCCCGTGTAGCCACTAGCATGTCAATTCACACCTATAAATATCAACACAATCATTCGTTACCAATTTTTGTGTCAAGCGTCGCTGCATGCAAATTATTTAAAAAAATGGCAAATTGTGCAATAATAACGTGTCGCAAGAACAGCGAGAAATGGAATTTAAATAAAGGAGACATATTCTACAACCAGTAAGTCGAAACTATTCATATTTTGTGAATATTAGAAACAAAAAGAAAGTAATATTTATGTGTCAAAAAAGATTAATCAAAAGTCTAAAATGTGTTTGTAGTAGTGATAACTGATAATAAGACGTAATTGCTTGTATGTGTGCTCCCGGCGACGCCGATCCTCCTACAAAATAAGGTTGACAGCAATTCTATTGTGTATATAGTATTCTACGGTGAGGATATACCGAATCGCAATTAAAACCCAATTTGTTTTCACATAAATATCATATTGGTCACCAGATGCTATTTTATTGTATTAGATTTAAGTACAAAATGTGTTTATGGCAACTACATAAAAAATACACAGGCACAGATATAAAAATGCAATGGTAGGCTAAATAATATTTTTATTAATTTCGTATTAACTTCCCATATAGAAGTTGTGGTTCACCGAGATTTGATGTATAAGAATATCTTCTACTCCGTATCGTCCCGTGGGTGTCGTAAGAGGAAATATGAGGAAACAAATCAGGAAAAAGGCAGCTGTGTCTTATTAATAAAATATATAAAACTGCGGTCGCCAACCCACTACTATAACAAAAATCGCACTTATGAGGTAATCTATGGAGGAGGTCTTTAAATCGAGAGGATGTTTTTAAGTTGTAGTAATGTGTTTGATTTTAGGAAGTTTAAATTTTAGTAATAACTACACGCTTTGAGATTTTTAGAATTAGGTATTATAGTATTCTATGATTCTACCAAATGAAAAATTTATAATGTGATGAATAGTGGAGACTATCGGGGCAAAGGGAAACCCGATTAAATACGTAAAGGCGATCCCACCCCGTAGAGGCAGATCTGGATGCCTTTATTTCGCACAGCTCGAGCCTGGAGCGAAAAAACATACTTTATCAAATCGACGAACTTCTCTACATGAGGTACTGATCTGCATCAAAACCTTTTTCTTTGTTCAGTCCAGTCCAGCCTAGTCTTTCTCTTTTCCAATGCTATTAGTGATATCGCCATTACGAGATTGATCGTTGTCTTTCGTTGGGCAAGTTTTTAACAAGTGGTAAGAGCTTAGCCAAAAATTTAGATTGAATTTAAGACGTAGTAAATATAATTTGCTTTTAAAGATACTAGCTTGCGGAGCATTCACGTTTTATTTAAAGTTCGCTTTTCAAAAATCTTGTCGTTTAGCGTGTTGTGTAACGATACAGTAGAGTGCGGGAAGACCTGGAAACCAGGGTGCGTTCATACATTACAAGATGGTTCGAAATTTTTATATCAACTTTTCCTTTTATTATTTAAACTAAACGTGATGGTGTAGTGGTGTAAGAATATTTAATACCCCTTATAATCCCGTGGGTGTCGTAAGAGGCAACAGAAAAAAAAAATAAAAAACCGCGTGTGCCAATCCGCTTGCTAAGCGTGGCAACTTTGGTAAATATCCCCCCTATGAGGTGTTCTATAAGGGAGACATATGTTCAACAGTGGACTTTAACTATAGGCTTTAACGGTAAACCTAACTATAACCAAACCAAAAGTCGGAAACTGAACCTTCACGTACGTTTTACAAGCAAACCTCTGCGAATGGTAACAAGCAATGAGGTAATTTTAAAGTGTTCTGTGCCGGAACACTAAAACTATTATATTTGATGCAAATGATTAAGAAATATTTTGTAGCGATTCGGTCTGTCCTCACTAACAACTTTCCGTTAAGGGGATAGAGTAAGTCAGCTCAAATTCTA